TTCTATTCATGTTTACGTTCTGTAGCAATTGGACTGACAGCACTGCACATTTAAATGTATAGCTGCAGCTATACTAAACAGAATTTAAGGAGGGATTTTCTCCACTCATAATCTACATTCTGGATATTTTCCATTAGGGTGTTCAACTGGTAAATTATGGGCAGAAATGACAGATGTCATTAGGACGTTATGGTACAACAGTATAACCTTGAGCAACACATCTGGCAAACAGAAACCATATGTTGGACAAGTCAAGCAATGAAATACTCTACTTATACGGCATTATGGTGATTTACTTTAGTATTTTCATGTTTTGCTACTTTATACTTCTACCCAACAAATTATATGGGGTGAATATTACGTTTTTTACGCATTTATTTGGCATTCAGGCTTTGTGGATCTTTTGCATAATTGGGTTTTATATAGCTACAATTAGCTTATAAAATGAGATGCATATTATACTTATACAGGGCTTTAATGGACAATTCACATTGAAATCATAAGTACATATCTTTTGTATTACCTGTGGTGCTAATGATTAATTTAGATTGTATTGCTCGGACACAAAACAAAACATTTAAAAACTCAACGCAATGTCTCTTTCTCCTTTTCTTTGTACCAAACTGTAGTGAAATGTTATATATATATATATATATATATATATTTCTTTAGTAACCAGGCCATGATTTCTGGAAAGACACATTGCTGTTCCCTCAGCAACTCACACCAACACAATTTAGATTGATAAATAGCATGCAGGTAAGAGGAAATGTATGCATTGCGTGTATAACAATATAGAGTTTGAATGCATTCAAGTCTTTTAATCAAAACCGTTAGTGAAACGAATACTCTGAAGATACATTCCTACTGTATTCATCAACAGTAACTCTATAGACATAAAGTGAGCAATAACTACCCCCTCCAGCCCTCCATGCCAGAACAAGGTATCGAATAACACAGAAGAAAGTATCTGTATCACTATAAGTGTTCTGAAACAGGAGACAGATTTCCCCAAGCAAACCCAGGTGGTCCGCCGTCCCACATCTTCTGTTACTCACAAAGAGTCACCTTTCTGTCTGCCGCCGCTGCGTTCATGCAGAGGACGTAAACTGCACTGTAGCTGTGGCCTCAGAGCCAGATTGATTCAGTGTGCGACTCTAAATCTGATCTGAGGACAGCGGGTGGAGCTGATGAAGGTGCTGAGAGCTCTTGCAGTGGTGGCAGACTTGGTGACAGTAAAGCATCTCAGCTCTCACACTGCTGCCTTTAATCCCAATGTGAGAATGATCTCCAAGAAAACACTATGCAAATATGTGTCCAATCAATCAATCGGTCAGTCACAAGCTAAACTGAATAACTTTCCCCTCAGAGCAGCCATCAATATTAATGTTAAACCGCTCTTTACACAACCAGATTAACGCTCGTTAGAAATAACAGGACCGATGTGAATGTCCTCACCCTGGCTGTAACCCGAGAGCCTCGAGGTGGTACCGAGGGAGAGCCAGGGGCCCTCAGTGTGAAAAGGGTCCAGTCAGGCTTGGCCTGAGCCACACAGACCACTACTCACTCCATCCACAGCCCCTCACAGCGGGATCCAGCCATCTGGACTAATTTCTGCCCCAGAGCAGCTACAGAGTGTAGCTCTCAGGCCCATGTGTATGAGAGTTGCATTCACAGTGGGCCCCAGGAATGTGCTTGTCTGGGAGAGAACTAAGCAGATTTAAGGGATGGCGGCGCAACACGATATATCTTTCCACCCTGTACAGCGGAGCATGTCATTTCATCAACATCTGTAATTCATTTTTAGCGCAGTGGTCAATCTTGGGTTCAGTCCGTTTGGTTTTAGAAACAAAAATAGCCCTCAAATCACTTCAGTTTTCCTGTTGTTGAGTAATTTAGGATATCATTTATGTACAACTTGACTTTCATTCTTTAAGACATCTTAAATCTTTCTTCCTTTCCCTTAAACGTCAAGTCCTATCCATTATATCCATAATATTGAAATTGTTGATTTATTTGAGAATGTAGCCACCGGTTTTCCTCCAGCCGGAGACATTGCTTGCATCTCATAGCCTTTTATTCCTATATTTGTTGTATGTATCTTTACTGTGAGATTAACCAATAAAGGCAAAATAAAACCTCTTTAAATTGTTGTGCATGTACAAAATGATTGTCCAGGATTTCTGGACATTTTCAAGCTTTAATAACCTCCTTACTTTCCAGAGTTTGGTTAAGATAACCCAAAGGGATCCATACTGTAGCAGAGCAGTAAATCCAGACAGGACATCACTGCATGCTTTACTGCCATTCCAGCGCCTGCAACGACAGCTCAACCCTATTAGCTGTTCGGTTACTACGGCAACTAATACTAAAACCCCAAAAGAGCCGACGGTAGGGGTCAAAGGGCAACAGCAGCAGATAACCAACACATGTCTTGCCTTGAATTCAGGGTCTGAGCATGGGGGGAAACATTCTGCAAGATGTAAAGTAATCTTGGTCTGGTTTCGTTGACCTGGCACTCTTTGTGCAGGGTTTATATGTTGTAACTATGGCTTTTTTTTATGGTTAGCAAACAACACACTCATTCTTAATTGAGTTACAGGTTATTAATAAGAACAACGTTTGGGTTTCTATATTGTAAAAACATCTCTAGCCAGCTTTTATCCTCCTCCAGTTTTGTCGTTTAATTCAGTAAAGCGACTTCTTTAATGGACCATACTTCCCTGCAGAGAATCCACAATCTATTTATTAGCACTTACAAGTACAGACATGATAGACAGTAAGTTAAAACAGCTTATTTTAACCAGTGAAAAAAACAACAAAATGTGCCTTATTGCCAACATTAAAGCTCTGGCACCTCTTACAATGTGTAGAAGTGTAAATTCTAGGATGATACCACTTGTATCACATTTACCAAAAGGTCCGTCACAGTTCAGACAACAGGGAGAAGAGTTTGTCTTATGGCTTATACATTAGTGTTAATATTTAATCAAATAAAAATAAAATCAAAGAGGAAACAGCAGGCTTCAACTATATCAACAAAGAGCATAGGATTCCTGATGATCATACCAATAAGTATCCACTACACTGAGAGTTGAATTGGGTGGATGTGTCAGGTTCAAATGACAAAACATTGATTTGCAGCCTGCATAATACCTGTGTCTTGTCCCCCCTGAGACCAGGATCAATAAGCTTCTTTTCTGGATAGGATACACACCACATTCATCTTCCATGCAGGCTTCTGCCAGCCTTTCCACTGAAATCACTTTTAATCACATCCCCAGAGGCTGCCCACTCTTTTTGCATTTCAAATTAAGTATAGGTATTAATTCTCAGGACTGTGACACATCATCATGTGCTTCTTCGACTGTAGGCATCCATGTATATGTGTTACTTTGTTATGGTGCTGTTGCACTGCATGCATAAGTACATTTCATTTAAACTAAATGCCCAATGTTACATAATTCTGCCTTGAGGATGAAATGGTATGAAACAACTGTGCAGCTCCAATGTGAGTCCATCTGCTGGTAAAACCTTTTGTTCTGCTTCCTTTTGCTATGAGCTTTGCAGCATTAATAAATCCTCATTACTTATCTGGGGTGCAGGAGTTGAACCTGGCAGAACAATACAAGCAGGCAGCGCCCCCTAGTGGTATGTTACAAACTTGTATGGCGTAACTGCCGGGAGTAAAAGTTAAACTTTGTCTAACAGGGAGGCTTCTGAGTGGTGCTTACTTGGCCAATCACAAGCTTTGGGGTCTCCTATTCGCTAACAGCGAGCTGTCAATCAAATCATCCAAAGGTTTTTTTTCTGTATTCTCCTCAATGTGGGTTTGGAGGTCGTGGAGTAAAGATCCCCTCCGTGAAAACATTTTAGTGCATGTGGATTTTTTTTGATTAAAGTAACACCAAAAACCTGCTGTATTTATCATTTAAGCAACATTGTTTAAAATTGCATCAAATTTAGTGTTGTCGAGATGTAAATTAGGCCTACGTGTAACTGTTCGATAATTTAATCTATAATACTATATATTTTATACGTAAAATCATTGGCTGTTATAAACTATAACAGCCACTATTGATGTGTGTTTTGTCTTTTTGTATGTGATATGGACCTTGAGTCTGGAATAAAGATTGGAAAACAGCCAATTATTTAATTACCTATCGGTAAAGGTAATTAAATAACAGCAATGGGGGTAAAATAAAATGAGTGGATTCAGACTTAATAGCACATTTAAATGGTTGTCTGAAGTGCAGTTGAATAGAATTATAACTAGAGACGTGATGGTAATACTGAGTTAAAGTACAAATACCTCAAAGTTGTACTCTGAATGTAAATAATATAGTTATAAGTAGGCTATATCATAACAAATGATAATACAATATAAAATAGTAGTAGTACAAATGGTAAAAACCCATGTATAATATCAAGTTTGATGATTTAGCTGTTTTTAAATGTTTTTGACGTATTTCAATCAGCTTATATTTTCGATAAATAGTTTTCTGCATGTAGCCTCCAAATAAAATAAATAAATATATAAACCTTGCTTCCACTGACAATGATCAAAAAGATAAAAGAAGGAAAACCATGGCACCACCAGTCTCTAATCCCAGTGAAACATGTCAGGTGCACTCAGCCCCCTGCCATACCCAGAGGACGCCCATGGGTGGCAGGGCTGTTCCGGACCACTGGACGGGGGACGGACTGCTATCTGATTGGTCGGCGGTGTGCGCGTCCCCTCCCGGTTTTCCTGGCATGACCTTTTCCCTTGGCAACCACTTCCTCCGAGCATCCACGGCCATCTTTAAATTTTAAGTCATTCATGAAAAGTTGTTTCGCTCATGTAAACACGCCGAGTGACACATTTGCGCACAAAGCAGCATCTCCGGCGCTGTGTGCATGTAGTTTCCAGCGACGTGCTCCGAACAGAGCCGAGCAGCACCGCAGCAGGCTGTCCGCAGAGAATAAGTAAACAGCGAAAGCGTACGTGCATATTGTTCAGCGTATTGTCTTGTGCATCTCTCAGGCACGTTTCCACATGTTCCCAGGCTGCTGTTCGCTTCTTCCTCCAACTAAAGTATCTGAATGAGCTATACACGTGTGTAGATATGAACGTGTTGCGTTTTGGGCTGAAGTAGTGTGTAATGCTACCGAAAGAAACAGCAGGTGGAGCGCTACAATAATAAGAGCATGGATCATTGTCTGAAGGGCACAGCTGTACTCACCACTGCCATGTAACCCAGCAACAGGGAGACGTGTGTTGATTCCTGACGTAACTTTGGGGTTTTAACAAAAACTCCACACTTTATATTTTGTTTTGCAAGTAACACACGCTGGTTGTAATATATTTTATTTGTATTCATGGCAGTATGAGAAAGAAGCAGACTGCCAAACAGAGGAAGACCGAGGAGACTCCAGTTGTGCAGGAGTTTGTGGTAGAACAAATAATTCTCCGCAGAATCTTTAACGGAAGAGTAGAGTACTTCCTGAAGTGGAAAGGTTTCACAGAGTGAGTGACGGATGCTTGCTTATATTATATTTGATATGTTTTTTTCTTTCTTTATAATATTAAAAATGTTCTCCTCACTTTGATGTTACTGCAGTGCAGACAACACATGGGAACCTGAGGACAATCTGGACTGTCCTGAACTCATCCAAGAGTTTCTGAGAAACACCCATTTTTTTAATGAGGAAGAGCAAAATGAGCAAGAGTTCATTCTCAAAGAAGAAATGACAGAGCAGGAGACGGAAATTGTGAGTGTGTGAACTAATATTTGTTCCATGTTATTCACAGAACTTCTGTATTTAAATCTGTAAAGGATATAAACAACATCATATAAGAATGCTTGTAGCATGTTAAACTCAGAAATGTAAAGCGTCTGTAGTTAAAAAACTTCTGACCATGTTTGACATATTTGTTCCTACTTTTTGAGTTTGAAGGTTGAATTTGAAACTAAATGGTGCGAAAAGTGGCTAATTTTGCAATGATCCTGGAAGTAAAAGTAGTAAAATGTTTTCTTCGCAATAGGCATGTAAAGTAAAGAAGAAGAAAAGGAGAAGCGGGCCGAACCACGCGGTTTCCTATGCGGATGCTGTCGTTGTGGTTAGTTCTAACTGCTGCAACTGTTGTTCTTGTCCTTCTCTTTGCAGTCATGTATGCAGTCTCTGCAGCAGGCTCACACTGTGCAGAGCAACAGCGAGCCAAATGATGATCAGTCAGACACCCCCACTAACCTCAGCACTCACCTCGAGCCTGAATGCATCATTGGTGCCGCGGACAGAAAGGGAGAGCTCATGTTCCTCGTCAAATGGTAACTCGATAGTTCCTCTAGTCATTGCGTAAATGCCATTGGGGCGGGTATCTGTTTGTGATGGTGAAAGTCAAATGAGTCAACGTTTAAACCTTCAATCGTGCGACACGGGTTCTACTAAAGAAAGTACGATGGAGAATCTAGTCAGGGGTTTTTCATCTTATTGTTGAAGAAAGACAATATTAACAATGACCACCTGGCAGAACACTATGCAGAGCCTGCCGCCATGATAAAGAAGCAGAAAAACCTTTCCAACAGCCCTTACATTTTTTTTAGATGTAAAGAATGCTTTAAGTTGGAGTGGAGGTTCTAGATTTTGGGAGCTTGATCTATCAGTATTATTATTTATGAGAACCTTTTAGAAAAAAACATTTAAAGTGCTCTGATGAGGCAAATACATGTGTATAAAACATAACAAATATATAAAATAAGTAAACGATACAAAAGGACAACAAATAAATTGACCTCAGAATTATTAAATATCTAATGTGAATCAAATACCTTTACTGAAATACAGTGCTAATAGCCCTTCTGGCCCTTATTGTCATTAGATGTTTCAAAATTACAGAACTGACTGTACCCCTAAAAAAAGATCACTCACCTAAGCCTCTCTTTTTGCAATACCCTTTTCCAAACTGGTAGGAGTGTGTGCGGAAACATTTAAAGTAAAGGGCCACCGTCCTAATGGTCTCCTCCTCTGTTTTGTTTCCCGACAGGAAGAACTCTGACGACGTGGCCCTGCTGCCGGCTCGTGAAGCCAGCACCAGGTGTCCCCAGGTGGTCATCGACTTCTACGAGCAGAAGCTGACCTGGCACTGCGGGGACGAGGAGCAGTGAAGTGTGTCGAACTGATAAGCAGCTGTGCTCTCACCTGAAGCTTAGTTTAACCTTCCTAACCATCAAGTGTCCTCCTTCAGCTGACATTCAGAGTGTGAAATTACACTGCAGGTAGATTTTCAGATTCTGGCAGGTGCAAGATCCTCAGCAGGGATGGATTCTCAGTCCTGTGGTGCTCAACGAGGTCTCTGTGCCTTTGTGAGGAGACTTAAACTAACCTTTGTGTGAAGAAGCTGATTTAAAGTCAGACTAACCTGTAGCAGCTTTGTCTCGCTTAAGCAGACACAATCACTGTGGACATGTGTAGTTTTTACTGTTATATAGTGACCTAGTATTAAAAGTTGTGTTTAGCTATGTCTTGGTTTTTATCTGTGTGCTTTATATTTTTTTAATAGCGAAACTGTAGGCAGAGTGAACTAACTCGTAGCTTTTAGTTAAAGCTCAAGACTGTAGACCTGTTTTTTGAACGTGTATTGTCTGAAGTGTTTATAGCCACAACTCTAACTGTGTTTCTGTATGACCCTTGTGTTTGATGTCAAACATTTAAAAAATGTTCCCCACAATAAATGTCCCTGTATTTCCAATCAGCTGCTAAGAACCAAATATTTTCATCTCTGCATTGAATTATAACAAGAATATAATTAGCTTTTTAAAAAACTAAATTATTACAAAGTGAAGTACTGGCAGAATTACTCAGAGTAATATTTCTAAAGTGAATTTTTGAGAAACAATAACTTTTGTGCACCTATGATGGCTAATGAGATTGTTAAGTGTAACACTTTAGAAACGAGCCTGTAAAACTACACGGGTCATTCTCTTCCAGTGACCTTACAGGTCTGTGGGTATGTTACTGTTCCTGCTTATGGCAGTGTCCTGACTCAACATATCTCCCATGACTGTTATCAGCTGAACCTTAAACCTCCTAAAACACACATGCTACTGAATTATTGACTAACTGTTGACCATGGATCTGTGAAGTCTGTGAATAAAGGAAACTTTTTTGTGAAGCTTTTCTCTTCCAATTTTTGTTACTGTAACAATCACATTCTAAATCACATGGAAGAAGCATCAACTGTTCAGAAATATCAATTAAAAACAGTATCTAAAGGCATAGAATGGGCTTTGACTGTTTCTAAATGACAATCAATAAGCAATATACCTGATAAAACCTGTTAACTGAGACTTTTGTTGATTTGACCTGACAGTTATGAGGAGGAGCTTTTCTCAGTCTTGTGACTTTATTTTGAAACCTTTGCACTTGGACAATACAAGTTGGAAATAAAAGGATCTAGCAACATGCCAGCACATCATTATCAGGCTTTATGTTAAATTAAAACAAGAATATCTTGATTATGAGTGAAGAAAATGATAACGCTGAGGATCAGGTAGGTTTAAAGTTTAATAGTTTATTTTAAAACTGAAAACACTGAAATGTTTTTTTGGTACTGAGCAACAAAGGATATTTGGTGGGAATTTCCTATCCTGAATCTTGTCATGTTGGTTATTGCACTTCCTCTACCAGCAAATAAAACACTTCCCTTTTTCTCAAAGCATTCATTCCAGTATCTCTCCTTCTTTCTCCATGCAGCAGGTGATCAGTGTCTGGGTGCGGGACCCGAGGATACAAAAGAACGACTTTTGGCATGCCTACATAGACTATGAAATTTGCTTACATGTAAGTAAAATGAAAAAAATATGTTGTTTTTTACTTTTATAGTCCAGTATTGGAGCTTTAATGCCATGTGTGTCACACTTGTGTCCTGTTTTAGTCCAACAGCGTGCACTTCACTAAGAAGATCTCAATTGTGAGACGCAGGTACAGTGAGTTTGTATGGCTGAGGCAGAAGCTACAAGCAAATTCACAGCTAATGTAAGTTAATGACAATTTGAAAACAAATACTTTAAGTGTTTTTGTTAAAGTAAACTGCACTATGGTTGCTATCATTTAAAAAAGGTCTATACGTGTCTTTTGCAGGCTAAAGCTACCAGAGCTTCCCCCAAAGAATCCCTTCTTCAGTCTGAACAATGCCCAACAGATCACTGAGCGGATGAAAGGACTCCAGAAGTTTTTGGAACAGTAAGAATGATCTCTCAGATCAATAAACATATGAACTTAAAACAGTACAACACAAACAAAACTGGTAAATCAGTTTCCACAAACACCAGGCCATGTGACTGCCGTTCTCACATAAACAAGCAACACAATAAACGTATTATCCTTGTTTTCCAGGGCAGTCCAGAGCCCTGTGCTGCTGTCCGACAGCTGCTTGCATCTTTTCCTGCAGTCACAGCTCAGCACTTCAAAGATGGAGGCCTGTGCTACTGGAAGGACCCGCTACACTGTGGCCCAGGCAGTTCAGTGCTCTGGCCTGAGGCGTTTCCACTCTGAAGAGGATCTGACCAAGAACCTCAGCACGTCCTGTGACTCTGACTCAGACAGGTATTTTAAAGCCACAGTCAATTTCCACTCCAAAAGTGTGACTTCTTCCTGAAAAACACATCAGTTGAGCTACAGTAACCGCCTATTACTTTTAATGGTAGAGTTTATTTTGTATGTATGAGCATTTAAGCTAAATATGATTTTAAGTATACACTCACTGATGTATTTTTCCAAGAGATAATATAAGAAGTGTTTCTGCCTTATTCCCTAAATTAAACACTTAAATGAACTTTCCATCTTCCATACTTGTATTTCTCATTCCAGTCAAGGTCCAAAGCTTCAGATTAAGGCTTTGGCAATAAACAAAGCAGCGAGTACACCTTCACTTAATCTCATGGGAACCAGCCAGGAGGGGATCCTCAGCTGCTTGTGTGGTTCTACATGAAAACAGCCTCATCATATCATCTCAAGTGCAAATGTTTAGACCTTTCAAGAAGAGATGTTCCTGTAACCCAAGCAAAAATGCACTGCTCCTAATATATTTCACTTAAAAAAACAACATTGTGTTCTCATTGGGGCATTTAAGTTTGATGTATCATGTACGGTTAATAGTAATACAAATGTAACAATTATTAATAAAATGTTGGCTTTCAATGTTTTCTGTCTGCACATCTATAAAGTTGTAGCAACAATTTGCCTGAAGATGGCAGTGTTGTTACATTAATATGTTATATAGTTGCTTAGACAATGCACTGTCCATATTTACTTTTCATTCTTAAGGGTTGAGTTTGCCACATGTGCAAAAAACAATAATGTCTCTTTATGTGGCTGAACTTTCCCCTGCTAATAAACTGTAAGGTGTTGGAAGCTTGTCGTGTAGCCGCTGCAGTGCTAAGCTGTATGATGTATAATAAGGTCTCTGCAGAGTTTTCAGACAGCCCCCCTGTCAGGTGTAGCGCTGGTAGGGGGTCCTGGGGGATCCCAATGGACTCGCTCCTGTCTGAGAGGGCCACCAGGTAGACGGGCTGCATTGCTCCCTGCTGAACAAAACGCCAGCTGCACTGACAAGTCACCTTTTCTACCTGTCTGTCTTTCTCTCTCTCTCTCTCTCTCTCTGGCTTTGTAGTTTTATGAGCGGTTCACTACAGTCACATACCTCTGTGCATGTGCCTGCATGCTGAACATAACATGCATGTGCTTCCACAGTGAGCAGCACCATGCTTATGCAGAGGTAATGACCACTAAACAGAGAGATGGCAGGCTGACATATCGGCACAGCTAATGAGATTAGCTTTGTCTCTCTGCAGCAGTCGTGATATTCATTATACATTCAGAGCAGACAATGGGCTAGTGTTGTAGAGAACAGAGAGGCACCTCAGATCTGCTCTGAGCAGCAGGACAGTTTAGACAGTAGGAAAGCCCACTAACTCAATTTGGGGTGCGTGTGTGGGAGGGGGGGTGGGGTGTCTTCCCTGAAGATGTGTGGGTGGTGTATATGTGTTACTGCGCATCCACATATGCAATATGTGGGGCAGCATTACCCTGCAGCTTCGAACACACATGCTGCAGATGTTTGCTTTGGCTAGATATTCAAAAAGGCATTCATGTCCACCTAAAGTGTTAAAGTAAGTGCGTTTTTTTTTTACACAAGTGTGCACAGGCTATACTGCCTTACCACTCAGTCTATCAGTGCATTTATTCTACAATCAGTAATGTTTCCATTAATTAATTATTAGGCTCTTATGCTAACTTTGCTTCCTTCCTTTACGTCCTTTCACATTGTATTATACTGACTATACTGTATTTCCAATGTATTTAATTGACCTCAGGAAAAGCAGTGGTAATCAGAAAAAAATTGTTTAGCCTTAATTTAAAAAAACTCATGGTTGGGACTTCAGATGTTGTGGTAGTTCATTCCAGATTTGCAGAGCACATCTGAAAGTTGCTTCTGCATGTCTGGTTCTGACTGAGGACAGTGAGTAGGCCTGCCCCAGATGATCCAATAGCTCGTTAAAGCAGCATATTTGAAATGTTTTCTGGCCCAGACACATACATTCAAAGTAAATAAACATCCTAAAGACTAGATTTGGTTACTGGTCAAAATTCTCCTGACCTCAGTATTTTTTTTAATCTTTATTTGAATCTATGCAAATGTATGTGGTTGTATCTGTTAGGTAAATCACACTTTCCCCACAAGGTTTAGCCCATGCTAACAGGACTCTGTAACAGAAAGGCTTTATTTGTGACTCACAGCACCGTGAATTGAAACATTTACCCTGCTGGTGTGAGTCTGAGCTGTCCAGGACTATTGACTTCTCTTTAATGGTCTGTGACTCCGGTCCACTGGCCGTTAACCTTGAGCCAATGTAGCCTAGCCTGTCAGTACGGCTCTGCAGCCATGACAACACTGACACATTTAAACCCATCAGATCGATTGGCTAACAGCTCCCTGCTCCATGTTGCGTGACCCTGAAGGGGTAAAATGGCGTAAAAACATAGGGAGCGAATAAAATCCCTCCTCTCAGGCTCGGTCTTTAGCTGGACATAATCACAACCGTTCAGAAAACTACAAGATCAAAATCATGTTTTAATTATTTTTACAAATGCTTTAGCTCATTTTAATCTAATTAGTATGCTTATTGTTTGATACATAAAACAGTAGAAGATAAGATAAGGGGAAATGGCCCCTCGGGGAGGAGCCCATCTGCCTCTGAACAAGTCAGCATGCCTTTCTGCAGCGACAGCTCGAATATACCTCACCTGATGTCAGTGGTCTCATGCTTTACTTACATTTCCCTCTGTCATGTAATTAAAACGGAATCCCCAAGAGCCCAAATTCCTTTTTCAACAGTTTTACATTTAAAGAAATAACAAATTTTCAAACTCGAAATGCAACAATGTGAAACCACAATCAGGGTTCGTTTACTGAGCTGACTGCACAGAGCCAAAAAGAAATGGAAGTATTGAGGGAGATCCGCTCCAGCGGATGCAAATTACAGATAAATCAGAGACTGCTCATGCATTTTAAGTGCCACATTATACAGAATCCATTAGTAGCAATAGGAGTTCAGCGCCACTTGAGATATTAAATCTCTTTGCCTGCAACTCAGTCAAATCCGGACGAGTCAATATCAGAGAAGCCCAGCTGCACTGCCAATAGATACGGGAAGAGACCGACAGGAAGGATGCCAGAGTTACACACCAACAACAGTTCTAATGGCACTGGCTGGTGATATGTGTAGCTTTTTATACAGCAAGACAATACCATGAGCCAAGGTAAAGAGCAAAGGATATGTTGGTCTTGGGTTAATTGAATTGTTAATAACAAGCGCCTCATCTCCGCAATTGTTCAAGGTCTCCCACATTTTATGCCAAAACTAAGCGCTGATTTACTGAGGGCCATTAAAAGATTCAACAACCTGACAGTCAAACAATGATTTTTTTAGATGTTACATCTGTCCTTGTAGCTGTGTGTGTGTGTGTGTGTGTGTGTGTGTGTGTGTGTGCGCTCACAACCAACCCATCCTAACACCTCTCTCAATCTGGAGGAAAAAGGCTTTTTCTCAAGGCTGAAACATTTTTCATTGTCAGTCTATTGTCACAGATGGAAATGAGCTCACTTAAGAG